ATTGAAGGGAAGGGGAACAGGCTATAGAGGACTGCCCTGGAGGAGTAATAAAATGCGAATGTGTTAAGATGGACGTATGAATAACAATTTGATTGTACATTCTGCCTAACAGTGTGAGGTGTGCTGTTACGGAATATGAATGAGGTGGAAATATGCAGCTTTAAGATGAATAGTCATTTTAGTAGTTGCAGTATATCAATCATGTATGAATAAATGAGAACAGTTAACTAATCAAAAAATTATACATTGAAGAAACACAATGTAACACCACTTTCCATAATGTTCCAATCGTTTAATGACCATACTGTCTAACAGTTCATTAATTAGCGTTACATCAAAATCAGTTTATTACCAACCACCATTGCAGGTAAACGATTTAAAGTGTATCTATGGTCAAAATTTAAAATCATATATTTATTTTCAAATTGTTATTTCTAGCCCACTGATATTAACCACATGCCACCCAGCCACTGTAGAAATACGGCGACAGGGCGGCACGGCTGGGCAAAACCACATTTTAAAACATGCGTTTTCAAAACAGGTAGGGGGCGTGCGCGAGGCACGCCGCCGCCCTACCTGTCCCACCGATCACGGCCGCGGATGTCAGTCGCCGGGTCATAGCCAGTCGTTACCGGCTATGTCCCGGCGATTAGCAGCAATCAGTGACAGAGAGCACAGCTGCAGTAGCTGTGCTTTCTGTCAGTTCCCTGACAGCTCCTGACAGGCTGATCGGGAGATAAGAGTTTATCTGTCCCGATCAGCGGTGTTCCCTGCAGTACACACCCCCGCCCCCTAGAAAAACACTCCCCTCACACAGTTAACCATTTCACTGAATAATAAAGTTAACCCCTTCCTCCCCAGTGCCATTAGTACAGTGTCAGTGTTTTTTTTTTTGCATTGATCACTGTATTGGTGTCACTGGGGATGTTAGTGACCCCAAGTCAGTTCCCCCCCAGTGTCAGAATGTCCGCCGCAGTCCCGCCATAAGTCGCTGATCGCCGCCATAAGTCACTGATCGCCGCCATAAGTCGCTGATCGCCGCCATTATTAGTATAAAAAATTTAAAATCCCAGTATCTTTCCTGCCATTTGAAATGCTATAACTTTAAACCAATTAATTTACACGTATTGGGGTTTTTTGTAGCAAAGACATGTCGCAGAATGCATTTTGGCAAACATTTATGACTAAATTTGATTTTTACTGGACATGTTTTATAGCAAAAAGTCCAAAATATTGTTTTTTTTCCTCCAAATGTCAGCCTTTTTTTTTTATAGTATACAAAAATTAAAAAACGCACAGGCGATCAAATACCACCGAAAGAAAGCTCAATTTGTGGGAAAAAAAAGGATGTAAATTTCATTTATGTACCATATTGCATGACCGCGCAATTGTCCGTTAAACTAGCGCAGTGCTGTATAGCAACAAAATGGCGTACATTGCAGTATCTATACCATAGTTTGTAGACGCTATAACTTCAACACAAAGCAATCAATATACACTTATTGGGATTTTTTTTACCAGAAACATGTAGTAGAATACATTTTGGCCAAAATTTATAATTAACTTTGAGTTTACTATATATTTTGTATAGCTGAAAGTAAAAAATTCTTCAAAATTTTTGGTCTTTTTTTGTTTATAGCGTGAAAAATAAAAAGCGCACAGGTAATCAAATACCACCAAAAGAAAGCTCTATTTGTGTGAAAAAAAGGACGTAAATTTTGTTTGGAAGCAGCATTGCATGACTGCGCAATTATCAGTTGAATTAGTGCAGCACCGAGTAGCAAAAAGAGGCCTGGTCATTAAGGGGGGTAAATCCTCAGGAGGGCAAGTGGTTAATCTGAATGATCTTGAAATTGGTAAACTTTGTGAATCACCCCCCACATTTACTTCCTTGAATTCTGTGACAGATATTCACGATGCCCCAGGAGTAGACACTGCTGTGTCACACATTTCACAGAGCCTTCCTGCTGAGAGGGGGAGTTTCAGGAAGTGAAGTCAGTACAGGAATCACAGCTTGCAGGCAGCAAGGTACCATGGGATATTTAGTCCTTAGAAAATAAAAGTATATCAAAGGAATGAGCAGAGGAAAAGGTACAAAGCTTAAAAAGTAAGTTGAGAAGTAGTGAAAAGCAGCACTCACAACACGAAAGGAGACTTACAAGTAAACTTGTATTGGATTGTGAAAAATAACTATCATCACTTTTACAACGCTGATGTTATGAAATGAAAGTATATGCTGTGACCATAGATTTCTTTTATTAACTTAAAATGTTTTATTGGAAAAAAAATACCACTGGGATCTTCATTAGAGGGTACAATAAAAGAAGGCACAGTTAACCAAATAGGCATGTTGTACAAGTCACGGCTGGAAAGAAACTGATGGTGAAAGTAAAACTGTGAGAAACCAGAGCAATTCATACTGATTATACTGTTTAGTGCTGCGCAAATTGTTGTCACTATATAAATCCTATATAATAATATATAATAATGACATGATGAAAACCTGTATAAATGAAGACTACATTTACTGAATTCTGATTTTGAAAAGATCATTTGAAATTTTAAAAGATCAGTAAATCCAGAGATATGGGTTTCTTTTCGTGTATATTCTTTGTTGTTGAAAGATCAGAGCATATACCAGGGGCATGGTAGCATGGATCATATGTCTGCAGTCTCAGATCAGTTCATAAAATACAGTATGGAGCAGTATTTTGTCTCTTTTTGCTTAACTACTTGACCGGAAGATTTTACTCTCCTCCTGACCAGGTCATTTTTGCTTTTTGACACTGGGCTAATTTAACTGGTTATTGTCGTCATGAAATGCTGTACGCAAATTAAAATTTATATAATCTGTTTCACACAAATAGAGATTTCTTTTGATGTTATTTGATCACCACTGGGTTTTTTTTTATTATATAAATGAAAAAAGACAGAAAATGTTGAACAAAAAACAATATTCCTTACTTTCTGCTCTAAAACATATCCAATAAAATGTTTTTTTTTAAAATGTTCTTCATAAATGTAGGCCAAAATATATTCTGCTACATGTCTTTGGTAAAAATTAAATCCCAGTAATGTATATTGATTGGTTTGTGTGAAGGTTATAGTGTCTATAAACTATGGGAGGTCTACTGGAATTTTTAATTTTTTTTTATACCCGTAATGGCAGTGATCAGTGACTTAAAGAGAGACTGTGATAGTGCGGCATCTGACCATAACTGGCACTGGGTGGAAGGTACACTAACTGTCACTGACATCACCAGTGACACTAATACAGTAATCATTGATAATACTATACACTGTCCCTGTACTAATGACACTGACTGGGAAGGGGTTAACATCTCGGGGAAATAAAGGGGTTAAGTGTGTGCCTAACAAGTGTTAATGTGTGTAATATGTGCTGCTTTTTACTAAAAATCCATTTGTTCCTTCTCCTTGCTTTGCAGGGAGAAGAAACTGACAGGTCGTTCCCTCTGTAAAATTACAGAGCCCTGTGTGTTTGTCAACACAGGGCTCTAAGCTGTGATTGGACACAACCAATCAACTGGTCTCAGCCATGAATCATTGGCTGAAAGCTGCTGACCAAATCCCGCTGTGTCCAACGGGTAGATGACTGTCTGCAGTAAAATTACTGTGGGCAGGTCAGCAAATGGTTAATAACAACACAGGGCAATAAAGGGAAATCAAAACTGAGATTGTGCCTTTGGTGTCTTACTTCTAGGTGGTGAGGGCCTTTTATCATAGTATGTGTAACCCAGAGCATGATTTTGCATAGGATAGCTAGAACAAGAATGTCAGAAGAGCACTGTGGTGGGAAGATAAGGTTTCTAAAATGTATGCAAATCTTGACTTTACCTGAGGTTTACTCCGGCCTCACCCTCTAACTCCTCGAGGCTTCCCCATCACATTAAATGACCAATAGGAGGATTGGATGAGGAAAGTTTATGCTCAACTTTACAGTAATGCCTAGTACACACGATGAGAATATCGAACAAAAAAAAAATAAAGCATTCAGATCGATCATCCGATAATCTATTCATTAGTACACAGCCTTCAGAGCCGATCACAACAATTCATGCAAATTTATCTGAAGGGTCAAGCACAAACATTTTTCTCATAACAGAAAGGATGATTTTTGTTTAATCAGAACAGTATTTGTCCGTAAAAATCAAGTGACCAAGACTGCACATGATTGGAAACATGAAAACAACCCGAAAGGAAAAAGGGCAACGAAAACAATCTTTGTATACAAGCAAAATGCTCCTAAATATGAAAAAAACATCATTTTCAGGACATGAGGAGAACAAATCTACATGTGGAGACCAATGCATGAATACCACGTGACACTTTGATTGGGTATAGCAGAAGGCATGGCAAACAGAGGGGTCACACGTACATGACATCACTTCCGATTGCACACTTGTACATTACTATGCATACGGGAAGTTGTACTGGTTCGTACGAGAATTTTCGTATGCTTAGTAGGACTCTCATATTCGATATAAGACAATCCGATTTTCTCATCATGTGTACTAGGCATAAAAGTCAAGAACTACATATAAAAGCAAACCAATAAGAAAAAATCTCATGCGCTGCCACAGGATATAAATGCACCACCAAGCTTACAAGCAGCACCTGTAATGTGTTCCCATACCATCCAAATTAAAACACAAGTGTATAGTGTTACGCTGTCAGTATGTACATATAATAACTTACAAAAATACCATATAAGTGAATGCTGCCAAGAAAACAAAAATACAAAAAATGATTGTACTATTTACAATATTTTATTTTTTGCAGTTTTAAAATTATTTTTGTTGTCTTGGCAGCATATATTAACTGCCTCCCGCCCGCCATATAAGGAAATGACGGGCGCAAGGCGGTTCTCTCATTCTGGAGGACATCATATGATGTCCTCCCACTCTAACTGTGCGTGCACGGTTATGGGGGCGCGCAGCACGGTGATCGGTGGTGCGCTGTGTCCCTCGGACACAGCGGATCACCGATCAACGGAAAGAGCCAAAGATGTTGGCTCGGTCATGTGATCAGCTGTGTCCAATCACAGCTGATCGCATGTAAATAAGGAAATGTTATCTGCATTTCACGCTGACAGCTTGTGAGGAGAGGAGAGCTGGTAATCAGCATTCCTCAGAGGAGACATGTACACTGATCATCAGGGCACTGATGATCAGTGTAGCCCCAGTAGTGCCACCTGTCAGTGTCCATCAATGCCACCTGCCAGTGCCCATCAGTGCCACATCAATGACACATATCAGTGCCTACCAGTGCACATCAATGCCACATATCAGTGCCCATCTAAGCTGCCTTTAGGTGCCACCTATCAGTGCCACCTATCAATGCCAGTCAGTGCCACCTATCAGCGCTACCAATCAGTGCAGCCTATCAGTGCCAGTCAGTGCCACCTATCAGTGCCCGTCATTGCTGCCTATCAGTGCCGCCTAACAGTGCCAGTCAGTGCCTCCTATCAGTGCCAGTCGGTACCACCTATCAGTGCCTCCTATCAGTGCCATATATGAGTGCTGTCTTTCAGTGCCCATCATTGATGCCTGTCAATGCCCATCAGTGCCACGTACCAGTGCCTCCTCATCAGTGCCACCTATCAGTGCAGCCTATCAGTTCCCATCACTGCAACCTCATTAGCGCACATCAGTGAAGGAGAAAAATCACTTATTTACAAAATTTTATAACTAAAACTAAGAAAAAACTTTTTTTTCAAAATTTTCAGTTTTTGGTTTGTTTTGCAAAAAATAAAAAACCCAGAGGTGATTAAATACTACCAAAAGAAAGCTCTATATGTCTTAAAAAAATGATAAAAATTTCATTTGGGTACAGTGTTGCATGACCGCGCAATTGTCATTCAAAGTGTGACTGCGCTGAAAGCTGAAAATTGGCCTGGGCAGGAAGGGGGTATAAGTGCCCTGCAGGCAAGTGGTTAATGTGTTCACATATATGGTATTTTTAAGTTATTACATGTACATACTGGTAGCGCAGCTTGTCTACGTAAAAAAGCAGCTGGCTGAATCTACTAATTACTAATCTAATTATTGTTAATTTTAGTGTGATTCAGTGCATGAAAAACCAAATGTTTTTATTCACGTTAAAATGTTAAAATTTGGGAACCATAGTTGAATTAATTCATTTATTAAAAACAAGTGTGGCACATAAACAAATACTTCCAATCATAAATTCCAGTTGAATTTGAAACAAAACAAATGGAAATCTGTGGGTTATAGTTAGGTTGGTCTCAACTGTATGTAGAGATGTAAGATTTTCAGAAATTTGAAGCAATGGGAAAACAACTTTCTTCTGTTTTTTTTTTCAGAGAAAAATGGATATTTTGGAAAAATTGGAAAAAAAATTGAGTGTGGAGTAGTTTTACAAATTGAAAGTCATTTTGATACACTGAGAAGGTAAAATGCAGTGCATAAAAAAAGTATATGCTTGAAATAAAATTATAGCTTATTCAGTAAAAAAACTAAACTTGCTTTTTAAAATTGTATTTTTTACTACAAATGGAATAACAAGGACTGTATATGTTTTCAGTTATACATGAGAACAGGCCACCACCCTCCGTTCCCTCACAATAATTTAAAAGCTTCATGCCAATATGCATTTTCAATTATTCACAGTGCTGATCCAGAAGCGTACATTGCTCTTGCAAGAGCATGATCAATGTTCTCCCGATTTTCAGGTGCCATTTTATCTATAAATTAATGTATTGTGTGTTTTTGTGAGGCAGTGGTAACACTTTCTTACTTGAATCTCTCCCTCTCTTCTGGCATTTTCCCCAACTCTCTAAAACATGCTCTTGTCACCCTCATAATTAAAAAGCCCTCACTGGACCCCACCAACCTTAGCAACCTGCTCCCATCTCTTTTCTTTGCTCCCATTTTCCTCCAAACTCTTTGAGCGCCTAGCCTACAACCGACTGCATGGCCATCTTACTGAAAATAACCTTCTTGATCCTCTTTAGTCTGCATTTCGCCCTCAACACTCAAAAACTGCTGTCTTAAAACTCACAAATGATCTACTGACAATAGAACCAATGGACACTATTCTGTTCTCCTACTCCTGGACCTCTATGTGCTTTTGAGACACTGAACCACCTCCTCCTTAAAAAACTCCACTCCGGTCTCTGTGAATGTACTCTTCACTGGTTCTCTTCCTACCCATCTCACGGCACCTTCAGCGTAAATTACCATCTCCCTTCCTCCTCTCTTCTTCCTTTCTCCATCAGGTCCCCCTAGGTTCTGTCCTTGGACCTCTCCTATTCTCGATTTACACCTCCTTCCTGGGTCAGTTGATAGCCTTCCATGGCTTCCAAAGGAAACAGAACAGGGCACCAGATTAGCGTATGGTTAAAACTATACACTAATCTGACACCCTGCTCTGTTTCCTTTATATGCTCATGAGGGACTACCCAGATCCACTGGCTAGGAGCTGCCGGACGGAGTGGGCTTCTCTCATTCACCTTTCCAGCCATCCATCCACTTGCTTTGTGAACTCTATGGATTATTCACTGTGGACTTGAGCATTGATTGTGCTTGTTTAATCACAAGTTGAACTGGTCCCATGGCTTCCAATACCATTTCTACGCCGATGACACCTAAATCTACCACTCTACCCCTGAGCTCACTGCATCACTAATCTACTAATGGACATACCAGCCTGAATGTTGCACCACTTCCTCAAACTTAATCTATACAAAACCATCCTCATAATATTTCCTCACCCACGTGCCCATTCCCCTGACTTCTCTATCAAGACTGAAGGCACAACTATCAACTCATTCCCGCATGCCAAGGTGTTAGGTGTTATCCTGGACTTCTCCAGAATCTCTCCCATCCTATGGCATTCCCTACCCCAATATGTCTGATTGTCTCCTACTCTGTCTACATTTAGACAATCCCTGAAAACTCATCTCTTCAGACAAGCCTTTCCTGCCACCACCTGATATCTGTACTTTAATTTCTCCATCAGCTCATCCCCCAAAATTATTGCCTTTTGTATCAATTGACTTTTCAATCATAAGTGCTAACGAGCAGGGCCCTTTGTTTTCTACTGTATTAGATTGTAATGTATTTGTAGTGTCTGCCCTCACGTTGTAAAACGCTGTTCAAACTGTTGGCGCTATAGAAATCCTGTAAAATAATACTTGAAGATGCTGCTGTTGAATAGAAACTTTGTGATGATCCAGAAGCAGCAGAATAAGTGTTTCTGGAATGAGAACTATGGAGGGAAAAGCCACTTTCACTTTCATTATGGCTCTCATCTTTTATTTCCATAAAGCATTTGTAATGTCTTTAGGGCAGCTCTGGCATTCCAGGATGTGTTTTGCCATCCTTGTAGCATTTGAAAAAGAAAATTTCTTCTCACAATATGTGCACTTGCAGCTTTGCTCTCAGCAGAAATTGCACTGTGGAAGTTTCCAAACTCTAGATGTTAGTCTCACCATTTTATTGAGAGGAGGAAAAGAAAAACCAATTTACTGACCAGACTATAGGTAAATATTATGCTGTGATGGTGAAGAACATTAACAAGAATCCTTTAAGGGTTAAAAAGATAAACTAATTTGTAAGACAAATTTACCCTTTTACCTGTCAAAGTATTGCTAAACCCACAATAGTAAAAACAGTCTGTATATGCAATAAAGCATTCTTTTACTGCACTTTGGAACCTAAGAGAGGTTAATCCATTGTGTAAAAAGGATGTTCGATCCTGTCTTCTCTGATCCTCCCCTTCTAACAGTGTCCCCCTCTTATCTCCTGATAAGACATATGGTGTGGAGACACTCTGCACATGATTAGTTTGGTGTATATTGCTAGAGAGGTTTTTTTTTTTTCTTTGGAGAGTGCATAGGATCAGCACAGGGCAAATCAGCACTGTCCAGACAGAGGTCAGGGGTCCTGCAGCCTCATAGGGGAGAATGAAAACTCCTTCTACAAGCTTTAACTAGTGCTCCGCTGGACACTGATAAAAGTCACAAGACTGCTATATACTGCTGATGAGAAAAGGTATTTAGCAGTTTATATTTACTACAATAATTGCATTTCCATGTTTTGTGTGTGCTGTGGGAGACTAGATATAGTGAATGCATTGTCCTGGGTTTAGTAACACTTTAAGGCCTGAGAGGACAGAATCATCTACTGTATCCCAACAATCACCCAACTGCAGGAGGTACAAGATGGAGTCCACAAGCAAACTAAACTGGATCCTTTCCCCTGCAGTGCTGCCTAGTGGAAGGCATGCATGTTTCTCTTGTTTGAGAACTGCATTGAGAAGTACAATGTTACTTAAAGCGGAGTTCCAGTTGCACTGTGAAAAAATAAAAGCAGCTACAAAACTGCTACTGCTAGCTTTTAAAAAACAGCCACGCACCTGTCCCACGATTCCGCTGTGTGTTCCCCGCAGCCCATTTCATCAGCCATCTGGTGTTCCAGGCGCAGGCATTTTCAGTGTGGGCACCCGGCTGTGACTGCTTGCGGCTTCACAGCCGGGTCCCCACTGCAGATGTGCAAGTAGCGCTGCACTTCCTGAATGGCCCCGTAGTCATCTGGGACCTGTCACGTGTCCCAGAAGACTACCGGGAGGGAAGGTAGGAGGACAACTTCTGCTTCCAATAGATCGCCCGGGCGATCGCAGAGGAAGTGGGAGCGGGTACCTATCAATTTCGGGTACCTGCTCCCCAAAGGTACCAATCCTTAATTGGGCGCGGGGGACCAGTCTCTAAAGCGGAACTTCCCCTTTTGGGTAGAGCTCAGCTTTAAATTGCATTCCAGGATTTGCTTGTCTTCAGCTGAGAGAACTTGCAATAAATTAAGACTTTATGTTTAATGTCTTCATGTTATATAGTTTGAATGCCATGTCATAGATATATTACTTATCATTGTAAAAGAACATATTCCACACTTATTCTTTTTTTCTGGAAAAAAATAAAAAAGGCTTTGAGAAAAATTGAAAGAAAACCTTTTCTTTCCCAATTTTTCCATTTTTTTTATGGGCCTTCCCATCTCTAATTCTATGCAATCTAATTGAGCGGAGTGGTGCATTAAAAAGTTATTTGGGGTAAAGTATTTCATCTTCTTGGCTGGATATGTGAAAGACTTGCACTTCTACAGATCACGTAAAAGTCTGCTGAACAAAGACTCCCAGAGGACCCGGAGAGCTGTGACGGAAATGTCTGGTGTATTAATTAGTCACTTTTCTGTCACTTTGATTTGCCTTCTTTTTCCCTGTCTATTTTCTTCAAGCCAGATAGTAAATCTAAAATATTCACTAGGACTAAATAGGGTAATTTCCAATAGAATTTCTGCATACAGGCACTGTATTTTGTTAGTGGTGATGCTTGATTTTTTTAAATCTTTATTCAAAGTATGACGAATAAAACCGATTTCAGCACTGCATGTAGTCTGCATAGAGGCTTAAATTCAAGTGCAAGCCTACTGAACAAGTTATATTGTCTTCTGATTAACGCTCACAATAAAAATCATGTACACTAGCCAGCATATGTCCCTGTGTAGTGTCATGCGAGTCATGGTGCAGAGAACTTCCAAAGATCACTTGCATAATGCATACTCATATTACCGAAGCAGGCCAGATTCCAATATTGGAGTCTTGGCCATGGTATTTTTCTGAACAAGGAGGCTAGTCTTCAGTGCAGAGGATCCTGATATAGGAGAGGTAATTGTGCAAATAGGGGGTTACATTTGCATAAGGGAGGGTTTGTGTTTAGGTAACAGTAAGGGTCAGTATGAAGGTTATAGGGAGCTT